ACAAGTGTCCCTTCGCTTATAATTTCTTTCAATGGATGTAATGGGATAGTATAAGACCTGCAAAGTAGCAAGAAAAATCTTGTTAACAGTTATTTCAAAAAGTTGCTTAACTAAGAGATATCGAAACTTACAGATGTTCAAGGAGAAAATTCATTCGTCGAAGAAATTCTTTCTCTGCTGTTGAATTAAATTCTTTCGAAAAAGATTCAGTGATGGTTTCGCGAAGTTCGTGTAATCCACCATCATTATCGTCAAGAGCAACCTAAGCAAGATAGTCAGTAAAGGGAACATTGTAAAAGAATGATGATAATAGAAAAATACGAACCTCAATGTACTCTCGTAGGATTGATTTTATGTCCTTTGTTACTTTTTCTTTTCCGATTAACTTTGATTTAATATCCTTTCTGAGATCTTCGAGCATTTCCCTAGAGAACGTTTTTACTTGCGTTTCCGAATAATTATCCATTTGTAGTAAAAGAATATGGGATAGACTCCTAAATTTTCAAAAAAAAATAATCAACCGCCATCATAAAGTTAATCATTAAAAAGACATTCCATTTAAAAGTTCTACCTACAATATTTCGTGATAATTTTTCGTCATTAGCAGACCAGAATTTTGCGCATGAGCTAACGCTTTGGATCGATATGACTCAAATAGTGACGATATGTTTTTTGTTTTGAAAATGAACTATAAAACGGTTATTGATTTAGCGAAATCATACTTGCAGTTAAAAAATACTTACGGGTTTATTCCCTTTATCGATGTATTCTTCGAACCCAATTTCTTCCACGTCTAGCCTCAATTTGTCTTCCTCATCGCTCTCTTCGGATTCTTCGGACTCGTCATCCACACTCTTGTACTTTGTAAAATTAATACCAATCGGCTGAGCCGAAAATGAAAAGAAAAAAATACATAAACAGAATCATATCATTTATGTCACCGACCATATCATCACTAGTTCCGGCAGATAAAGTGCAAGACTGATCATCAGTCTTAACCCGTCTCTTTGGTTTCGGTTCGTCCGCCGGATTATTCACTATTAGACTGTTTGGACAAGGCGTAGTGTACCCATCTCGATCTTCTTTGTAATCAACTTCTCGTCTTCTTTTAAGATAAATAGCTGACTCGACCTACGAATAAACCATAAAGTTTGTTGAATTAGTAGATCATTTTTAACAATGTTACAAAATTGCCATACCAGCTCCGTATTGACATTTTTCATAATATTTCCAACGCCATCTTCAATTCCCTTTGTCATAACACGAGCTATTTTCAACTGCAATTCAGAACAATCATTAGCCATATAATATTTAACAATATCAAAAATAAGTATAAATTATTGACCTGGTCCAGCTGTAATTGTTTTTTTTCTTTGGCATGCTCTATATCCAGAGATTCACCTTCAATTTCATTCCAGAATTTATCGATATCCACGTACTTTTTTCGATGGTTCTACCAAGATTTATAATACACAATTTGTTACTATCTAATCCTCACTGGAAAGCAGACAACCCCTGGCAAAGCAGACCACAACGGGATCTAATGAACACCGTAAGGTCAGGTGGTACGTAGGCACCCGCCATAGTTGTGTGAGTGTTACCCCTTCTCAGGACTGCTGGAGGCCCCCACCTCTACAAAACTTGTAGACCACAACGGGATCTAATGAACGCCATAAAGTGAGCGGAGCGTACGCGCTCACCGTAGTCGTGGAAGTATGTTCCCCTTCTCGGGACTTAACAGGGCCCTCCATACTGCTTGCCAGTGATCAAAATGACATGAAAAACGATACTCGCCTCAAAAACATCAAGCAAACATTGCGCTTTTTGTTTCCTCAAATCCGATTCATTTTTCACCAGGTGTTCCAAGGCAACTTGAAGTCTTTTGCTTCTTGGCGAAAATTACCTGTGAAATCATCCCGGCTTTTACAATACTGGTAATAATCGAGAAATCGGTATCTTTCCGGTGATGTTGTCTCAAAATATTCAAGAAATAACTCCATGGATCCAGACTTTAAAGGGTTAATGCTACTATGTTTGCTAAAAAGGCCATTCTGAGGTAATATGGTGCGAGGCATCTTAACTCGCCAATCACGTGATTTTGTTTCAATTTTCCGTATGCAATGTAACATAGCATAATATATAATGCAACCAATAATATTGTATAAATTATATAATCACGTGATAGTAATGATCACTTAATTATATTGATTCTTTATTTCTTATGATACATTGTTATTATGATGTACAAGCTATTAATTATCTAGTTAATAATTTATTTTGTTCACTTTTCTCACTTTATACTTTCTTTACTTTCATATTTTATTTATTTTTTTTATTTTATTCATCTTTATTAATTACTTAATATTCTTTAAAATTCAATAATATGACTTAAACTTGTTAACAATCTATTTAGCAGCTTGATTCTTTAATTCTTTATCATATATATTCATGTATCTTCATGACTTGTGAGCAAACTTATAAATAATAGTTATAGATATACTATTAAGAATCTCTAGAATTAAATTTGTCAAGTTTGTATAGTTATAATTACATAATTTTCTAGTTTTTTGCTTTATAAAATTCTAATATCACTCTATAAAGTTATACTCATAATAGAACTTCAGATACTATTCAAAAATATATCTAATAATGATTATTATTCAAGAAAATCAGGTTATATTAATATAATTCTTTAGATATAATAGTTTAATCTTTTCAAGTCAGTATTCATATACAATATATTAAGAAAATTTTTGAACAATTTTTTTATAATTTTATTTATAAAAATTTTATATTAATAATATCAAATTATATAAAAAAATAACTTGATTAGAAATCTAAAAAGTCAAAGATTTATTATATATATATTTTTAATTATCTAATTTTAAAAAAGTTATATATTATTACCTTTTTGATATAAGTTTTAAGATGAGGACGAGTATTAAATCTAATATTACAAAAGTACATAATAAAAGTAATCATGTGCTTAAAGTGTTATTTGGGAGAGTCTTTAAAGGATTTATTGACAAGAATGTATCTATTATTATTTCAAAATTAATCAAAAGGTAAGTAATGATAATATTCTTGTTGTGACTAGTTAGAATGTAGTTCAATTTCAAAATATAATTTCAAGACAGATGTAATGTTCAGTTTATTAACAAGATGAAATAATAGATCTTAATCAAGATCTATT